AAACATCATGCGGACATTCCATGTCCCCACGTTTACTTTCGCTTCCATCGAGGAAGAGAAGATATATCGGCCAATTGGCTTGCCGAAGGCTTTCACCAACTGGCGTCATTTCGCCTCGCCGATTCCAAGGAGGAATAATTCTGTTATTCTTTTTTATATTTCGTTTGTGCTTTGAAGTTTCTTTAGCGGTTAGATTTGTTTTACGGGTTAGGGTTGCTAGCCCTATGCCCAACCTTCCCTCTTTACCCGGGCTTAGGACCGGCTAGTAACTAGTTAACCAGGCGAGGTTGTTCTTCGTCATTAATCATTCTGTACTGTCAGAATTGTAGAATAAAGATGATATCCATTTGTAGTGTGTTGTGTATGAGTCACAGATTGAGATTTCTGTGTACACACATGTGCTGCTGATAGTTCTTATCTCCTTGATGTATGTTGGTTATGTGAGTAGGTGGAAGTGGGTTGAAACTAGGCGTAACTAACTACCTTTTACTCTCTCATTCCTTCCTGTTTAGACAATTATGATTCCACTCTGTATATGAAAAGATTCTGTTATGAAACATTCTTTATTATTTATAAAGCCACATTTCTGAATAATTTCGATATTGATACTGGGTGGTGATTGAAGGTGAAGTGAAAATCTCCGCCTCAGTGAGATTGGAACCAATAACCTCCAGGTTTCTGGACCGGTGCTCTACCCGACTGCTAACAAGATTTTTATTTCACTCCGATCACCAAAGGTTGTATCCAACTATCTTATGAATTCATGACGCGTTACTACCGCTTGCTCATAATCACACTGGCTGTTCAGTATTATTAGTAGTCTGCCAGACCACAACTATCCCAGATAGTCAAAATGATGCTCTCCCTCTCTAATCCAGTTAGATTTTGATTGCGTTGAGAAGTACTGACTGAGCAGTCAGTGTGAGTAAGTGTCACGAATTCACGTGGTAGTCGGGCAAAAACCCATGGTGATTGAAGTGAAATAAAATCTGGTCAGCAGTTTGACCTCGTAACTCAGTTGGTAGGCCACTCAACCGGTAACCCGGTGGTCGCTGGTTTGAATCCCACTGAGATCTAAATTTTCATTTCATCTTCAATCATCACTCAGTATCAATACCAGTCTGCCAAACCATATCTATTTCAGATAGTCAAAATGATAATCTATGTTGCTATCGAAAATTATAGCATGTAGAACTATAGCCGAAGTGTTTTCAAGCTTTCCCAGTCTGCTGTGACATTGATAAAGTTATACGCACTAAGTAGTGAAACGTTAATTAAGGCTGATTCGTTTTGTTTTATATACATTGGGAAAAAGAAATATTAAAATAATGAGTATCATTTAACTAATGACAAAACTGTCTAAACCATCAAATGCCAACTACGTTTAGATTCAATTTGGGTTAACTGTCTTGATGTTGTTTACCCTTATTTGGCATAGTGACTATCTTACCACAGTAGCCTAGCGGATAATTAAGTCTGTGGTATTTAAAGCCATGAATGGTGACTTTGATTCCCAGTTGGTATACCATGAATCACTAAAATCCAGGTACGTGTAGCTGACGAGTCCCAAGTCGGACGAAACGCGGATTCTAACCTCCATTGATAGCCACTACAAAGGAAAGTGAAGTATGACATGTTACAGTGAGTATTCATTCATTTGTCTTACATCACTGTAGATGATATGAAGTAGGAAAAATGAGATGGATCTATTTTATCTTGAAAATGATGTTCTCATCGAGCTTATCAAATAAAAATATTTTGATGCATGATTGATCCTAACAATGAATTTAAATTTTCGCCTGATCTATTCATCATCATTTAGAAAGGTTAAAGTTCTTGAAATTCATCACGAAATAACATCATTGGGAGAGTCAATGAAACCGGGGAGCACCATACAGCTGTTTGATCATAGAATGCGACTTTTCAGCAGCACGTATCCACGACCCAGCTAGGAATCTAATTCATGATCTTCAGGTTTCACGACGAACGCCCTAACAGTTGTAAATCTTTAATGAATACTACTTTAATATTAAAACTATTCAAAAAAGGGTTTAGGAATGATTTGACCTAATATCAACTCATTTCCAAATACGGTCTAGCTAAGAATTATCAATACATGTGTGTACATAGAAAGCTCAACCTGTCATTTATTCACACACTGAACGCACCATACATGGATATCATCTTTGTCTGAACAATTTGAGAATATGCAATCAATCATGCGGGAGAACACACGTCAAGTTATCAGCTTGGGGGATGTTGTAAATTCCGGTTGTCCATAACTCTTTACATCAACATCATCGACTTTAAAAAGGCCTTCGATAGCGTTGACCAAGAAGTAATTTCCCAGCTGCTTCAACACTATGGTCTAGTGACACAAACCTTCATCAACATCATTCAACAGTAGTTATATGATGCTACATGCCCAGTAATTCACAATGGAAAGCTCAGTGATGCCTTTGAAGTGAAGTGGAGATAGGAGTAAAACAAGGTTGCCGCCTACTATCACCTATCATCTTCATGATTGTGGTCCACTGGACTCGATTGGATTATGCAACAAACTGTGAGATGGACATACGCTGTTTGACCAATGAAAAAACCCTACACGATTTGGATTTCACCGATCATGATTTATATCTGATGTCTTGTCGCACAAACTTGAAGATCTACAGGCCAAAACTAACAAGTTGGTAGAAGAGGTGATGCGAGGCAGCGAAGAAGAGACTCCCTTCAGGTGAACGAGGATAAGATAGAGGTAATGAAGATACCAAACCAACAACAAGTATCAATCACCATCAACGGAAAAAACCTAAAGCAAGTAGTCTCCTTCGACCACCTACCTAGGCAGCATCGTTTCAACTAAAGTCGACACATACACACATGACAATGTTAAAATGACGACCGGAAAAGCAAGATAAGCCTTTGTTATTCTGAAATCAGTGTGGAGATCTACTCCACTCCACTCAGCATAAAGCATGGATAACATCCGGATTTCTAACACTAAGTCAATCAAGTCAGTTCTTTTATGTGATGGTTGAAAGACTTAGCGCGTTACGAAAAAAACATTTCCAACAAACTACAGACATTCATCAACAGATGCCACATACGTTCACTCCATACTGAATATGGAGATCAGATAGCAACAACGAACTCTCGCTGGCCTGGCAGCGAATCAACCAACCAACCAACAACCTATCGCCCAACAAATATGCAGATGAAAGTAGAGATGGATTCGATTGGATGGGACGTACACCGAGAAGACAATCTGGGGACATCACACGCGAGGCCAGGCCCTCGAGTGGAACGCAAGTGGGAAACGACGAGTTGAACATCCGAGGGTTGCATGGAGATCATGTGACGAAGAAATGAAACCTTCTGGGAGGCGGTGGCACCAAGCTGAAAAGACTGAAGAAAAGAGGGTGAAATGGCGATGTAATACTGAAGCCCTGTGTTCCACTAGAAACTCAAGGGACAAATAATAATAATAACTTCGTTAAAGTTATTTAGCATTAAGCATAGTGTGAGATCAGTTGGAACAAATTCACTCTGTTTTTACATTCATTCGGGAGATACAATTACCAAATTAATGAATAACATTTACCTAATGCCCAAAGTTTTTCAAATTATCCAATTCCAACTTGTTGTTTTTTTTGGATATCTATAAAATATGACTTGGAACAAATTATAATTAAACACTATACAGTGAAAAGAAAATTTTTTTCATATAGCACCGTGAAAAGAATCTTTGACAAGTTTTTCATACAACCTGGATAAACATGCATTATTATTGCCTACAAAAAGAGAAAAAAAACCCATAATAACAGATAACCATTTCATCACTTAATTATTTTTCCTTTTTCCTTTTTTTCCTTTTGAATGAGCATAGAACTGTGCAAAAGATGAGATGATGAAAAAAAAGAGATTAGAGGCCATGTACAATAAAGAATATGTGAATAAATGATACGGTGCATTATATGTACCGTGTATGTGTGTGTGTGTAGAGTGAAAAAGCAGAAATTTACCAAAAGCGAAACAACAATAATAAGCGACAAGAAGAAATATCTTTTTCTTTTTTAGAAAAAAAAGGAGATTATAATCTGCTTCTGCTGGTTGGTTGGTTAGCCTTCATTTTTGAAGCGAAACATATAAAGACTATGGTAATTATATTGTATCATTGAACATTGAACAAAATGGAACGTATACAACCTATAAACAGTGAAAAGTTTGCGCGCTCCTTAAAAAATTTTCAAAACAGAAAAAGAGATAGACACACAAATACACATACGCATACATATAGAGGAAGAGAAAGCATTAGAACTATTCTATGACTGGCTTAAGAAGACTTTTTCAACTAAAATGTTATAATATATTATGTAAAGAGAGATGAATGGGGAATGGATGTTTATGCCTACTTATAAAGTACGTAAGGTGTGAAGTTGTGAGAAGGTTTTAAAAGAAATATTGCACATATATAGCAGTAATAATAATAATAATAACAATAACCATAGTTAACTGTTGTGAAGAGAAAACATTACATCGTCGTAAATACATTATGTGGCTAATATTTTTTTAAATTATATATCAAAACAGGCAAGAAGACTGAACTCAAAGTAAATACAATGCACACTGACTGAATATTACAGGCATACACACACACAGAGACCGACCGATAGATAGATAGACATGAAAGGTAAAATGTGAATAGTGATTCGCTGGGTGACTTTAAAGGTCATCCTAGCAATATTGGAAATAACCAATCAGATTTCTGCACAGACAAATGTAATTGGCTGGCTACTTCAATAGTTGATAGGGTGATCTTTAAGGTCATTGAATTCGCAAGAGACTTGATTGATAAAAAGAAACGAAGCAGATGAAGAAGAAGAAGTAAGGAGAAGCTATTGAAGGTAGTACAATTTTCAAGTCGAACACAAATGGAAATGGTAAGAATTAAAATATTAAACAACAGATGGTGAGCAATACATATTATATAGCCATTAAATTCAAGTAACACCATCACGTCTGCAACGACTATTTCTCTGGAAAAATAAAATAATAAGCAAGTAAAACTATCTTGTATGTATGTATACATGGCACAATTGAACTTGTGATATAATTAACAAGCATAGAAATATATTACTAGTTTATTTGGTCAATAACAACGATCTGTTTTTATGATCCTAAAAAGTTTACTACAGTTCTGTTGATAGACTGAAATATCTGTCTGAAAATAGAGCAGGACAAGAGGAACCAGTGGATATAGATGAGAACCGATGTCATTGGGGCAGATGTATACACATAAATTACCATTATCTTAACGAGGCTATACCGATTCTCATCATTTCATCATTCTCCCTTTACAGCTTATGGTGAGATGTCAGGTGAGCTGTACTCATCGAGTAATGTCCGTCAAGGCTGTTCACTCTCTCCATTCTTATTCAAATTTATCATAGATATTCTTATGGAGGTCTCCCTCTCGTCACCTGATTATACAGATGTTGACCTAATCACTGGAGAATTTTCGTTAGACCTAGAATATGCAGATGACACTGTCCTGTTAGGTGAAGACTCTGACAAGATGCAGTCTTCTGAACACTTTGAGAATGTTTAGGATGCGTTTCTCATCACCTAAATGAAGATTGTTGCTCCAGGATTGGTCTTCAACGTTGCCATGGCTAACAATAGACAGTGAAGTGGTTGAGTGTGTTGACCACTCCACTTACCTGGGAAGTAGGATCAGCCCTGGTGGGTCAGTGGCCGATGAAATCTCTACACGGATACAAAAGGCTCAATTGGCTTTCGCCAACTTACGCCACCTGTGGCGCCGCCGTGATATCCGAGGGTCGCGTGTACTGCACAGCAGTCCGGTCTGTTCTTCTGTATGCCTGTGAAACATGGCCACTGAAAGTGGAAGACATGAGAAGGTTTAAGGTGTTTGACCACCGTTGCCTTCGTAGTATAAGCCGTATTCCGTGGTGTTACCAAGTGAGTAATGCAGAAGTCAGGAGTAGAGTTTTAAGGAGTGAGAAGAGGTACGTCGGTTGATGAGGTTGTGGACTTTCATCGACTAAGATGGTTGGGACACATGTTACGTATGCCTAGTCACCGATCGCCTCGTCACACAATGTTGGCTGAAGTAGGTGCAAGCTAGAAAAAGGCTCGAGGTGGCCAGACTAAAACATAGCACCAATGTATAAAGTGTTTGACTGTTGGTTTGAGTCATGTAGGGCGATGCAGACTAGGTGGTTGGGGTCGGCGGGACAAGAGGAACCAGTGGTTGGAGACTGACTGTAGGTGATATGGCTCAGAACCGATGTCATTGGCGCAGATGTATACACACACATTATCATCATCTTAACGAGGCTATACCGAATCTCACCATTTTGTTATTCTTCCTTTCTCTCTTTTCGTACTTTATATTTCTTTTGACCAAATTTTCTTATCTTCATCTTGCGCTTCACTGTCTTTTTACTTCATGTACTGATATGAGCTGTGGCAACTAGGAACGTTACGCAAGAATGTCTGATCCTATGTTGATATTGATGATGATGATACTGAGACGGACAGATAGATGAAATCAATGTAGAACTTCACATACACACACACAAGCGGTGAACCAGTTCAAAATACTACATTTTACAGTATTATACAAAGAACAGATGGATAGAAAAAGACTGATGTCCAACCGGAGAAAGTTGTATAGGAGAATAAACAATCTGAAGGTAAAGGTTAGTGCGAATATATATCCTACTGTTTCGTGGACTTAAACCAGATAGTCTACATCTCCTTCAACATTTGAAAATTCATCGATTTCAGAACATTTCACCAGATATAGGCATTCCTGTGACAAAGAATATACTCCTCCTGATAAGAAATCATATAGGACAGATGATTTCCACTACTAGCTAGAATAAACGGTTAATGACAATTAATATAAAGTTAATGCAGATGAATTGGCTATCGGAAAAATTTGGTACTTAAAATTGTTAATTAAATTGTATCTATGCAGCCTAAAAACTTTCGTTAATCACTCTTTGACTGGTCTGAAATTTCAAGTTGTCATTCATCGTAGACTGACATCACTTGGAGGAACAAAGGAAACCTGTTAGCACTGAACAGCCAACAGTTTCGTCCTAGTATAGGACTCCTGTGCAGTGCGCACCCATGACCCCGCCAGCCAGGGATCGAACCCAAGACCTTCAGTTTCCGTGGCCAGCACGTTGCCATTGAGCCACTGGGTCACAATCCATTGGTCCATATTTCAAACTTCTGTTAGCTCACGATATAGTGCAACCGCCACCTAATGTCATCATTGAGTAACTGTCCTCACGACCATTAGGCTTTGCTCCCACCGGTCACGCCTTCTCATTGGAACTTCGGGAATACCTCTCGAAGCTAGTCACCAACAAGCACCAGTTCAGTTAAATTTCGAGGGAGTTGTGGGGATTTGAAGTTGTTTTCTTTTAATACCTAACAAATATTCACTGTTTATCGACAAGACAGTTGTTCATACACGTATATTTGTAAACTGAGAAAAAGCACAGATTGAGTAGGATAGGTTATGTTCGATTGGGTATTGTATAGTGGTGAAAGCATGCGGATGGTTGACGCTTCCCAGGTGCTCACACCGTAGAAAATAGTGTACTTGAAAGAGAAAAAGACTTCTGTGACCTCAGAGCCCATGGGACATCTCTTTGAGGGTTGTCACATATACCCCTTTGCAGGTTGTTGTTTTAAGGTTTGATTGTTCTAACGTCGGATAGAGAGAATCTATACCGCCAGCATCGGAAGACTGTAGGGTAGGGAGGAGTGTGTTATATTTGAGGTCAAACTTTTCTAACCCCCTTCCATGTTCTTTCCATAGGGAAGGTAGCATCTACATGGTACTGCTGTCATAACTCATCCAGCCATCAGTACAACTTCACCCTCTGATTCCCATCATAGTGTAGCCAGTACACTAAAACAGTAACTGTCTCTCATTTAACCACTATCCAACAGACATTTCTGGTATGGTAAGACCTCGAGGGAACAAGCGATGCAGCCACCATAGCTGGTTAGGTCACCATGTCAAGGCAGCAGCTACATACAGTAATGTGAGAAAAGAGGCAGTAAATTAAATCATCACTACCAGCGGAAACAACCAAATAACCAAACAACTGCCGATAAGTCACCAATAATCAGTTCATAGCATCATGACGAAGCATATCGAGAAGTAAATAACTACTGGAATGCAAGTATATTCACCTGACGGGCCCTCAATAGGATGAAACGTAAATTAATACCACACAAGGCTCAAAGTAGGATTAAAAACATGTTTTCATCGATTCAATTTTGGCTAACTCTCTAGCTAATCCTACCTCAGGTAACATTGACAGCTGGGGAAGACTGTGGATCGATTTGTATAACCCATGAAACAAAGCATATCAGTATAAGTTGATTACCCTTCTTTCCTTACTCATGATATGGCTTCATTATTGAATAGTACCATAAAGACATCCATTTTCGAAAACATATGACCTTCTTACAGCTGTACCGTTATCGCATCGACATATCTTGTACTTGTATGTTGATTGACAAGTCAAGACGTCTGAAGATTTCATATGTAACTAAAGCAAAATCTATTCCAATCAATGATAAGTTAGATTGCAACCTAATTTACTAATTCAGTAGACAAAAACATAAGAGGAACAGTCTTACGTCTGCCTAATTTAGGGAGATTCCTCACTTGTACAATTTATTGTTTATATATAATGACAGAAATTAAGGTTCCCCGAAAATGTTTACTCTTAACAACAACAGAAGTGATTTTCGCTAACTTTTCCCCCAAAAACTAGTCACAATTTATAAGGATCTAGATTGAACTGAACGGCTATAGAAATGTTTCTAAGCTGAAATCCTAAAAAATTCTCCTGAAAACAATAAAATAATACAACTAACAAAAGAACCTGAACTAATCGGATTTCACAATGATACTTTTAATTAGAAAGTTAATTTTACGATATAGAATTATAGCCTAATCAATTACCTTATTTCTATCAGATCCTGAACCTGAAATTCTTCCACCACTTCCATTAGATGATATACTTCCATGTTGTGGACTTGCACCGGGATAATAAGAAGTTACAGGTAGTGTAGATGATCTAGGCATTGATGAATCAATTTGAGGGAAATTTTGTGGAGTTGAATGTCTTTGATTATGAATAGGTGAAGGATATGAATGTTGATGATTTGGACCAGATAAAAGTGAATTAGATAATGGTTGAATTGGACTAGTATGATAAACGGTATGAGGTGGAGCAGAACGAAGATCAAAACTTTGCTTTTGATAAAGATCTACTTCTAATTCTTCTAAACGTTGAGTAAGAGCTAACTTTTGTTGAATAGCTAAACGTAACAGAGTGTTAACAGTTCGTTTTTCTTCTTCAGCCACCTATGATTAAAGAAAAAAGAAATATAGTTTGTTTTTTTTTTAATGATAGAAAAAGCATAGCAACTACTGAAATACACTTCAAGTTGAATACTTATTGTTATTAGTATATAATTAGAAAATCGAAGTGTACTTGAGATGTGGTTAACAGTATGGCTCTATACCTCGGTCGGCAGAACATCAAGCCAACAACAACCCATAGATCACAGGTTTGAATCCATTCAGACATTTATTTCATCTTCAATCATCATTCAGCATCAATTCAACAGAACTAATTGGTCTCTTTCACCTAACTAGGTAGAATCGTTTCAACTATATGCGGCACAGGCATATATGACGATGTCAAAGCAGCTAAGATCATAAAGACAGCAAGGCAGGCCTTCTTTCATTAATCTGAAATCAGTGTGCAGATCTACTCCACTCCACTCCACTCCACTCCACTCCACTCCACTCCACTCCACTCCACTCAGCATAAACAACAATATACGGATTTTTAACACCAACGTCAAATCAGTGCTTCTATGTGATGGTGCGTTACGAAAAAAATCTCCAACAAACTACAGACATTCATCAACAGCTGCCACATACGCTCACTCCATACTGAATATGGAGATCAGATAGCAACAACGAACTCTCGCTGGCCTGGCAGCGAATCAACCAACCAACCAACAACCTATCGCCCAACAAATATGCAGATGAAAGTGGAGATGGATTCGATTGGATGGGACGTACACCGAGAAGGCAATCTGGGGATATCACACGCGAGGCCAGGCCTTTGAGTGGAACACAAATGGGTAACGACGAGTTGGATATCCGAGGGTGACAAGGAGGAGGAGATGGTGTGAGGAAGAAATGAAACCTTCTGGGCAGTCGTGGAGCCAGGTTGAAGAGACTGGAGAGAAGAGAGTGAAATGGCGACATGCTACTGAAGCCTTACGTTCCAATAAGAACCCAAATGACGAATAATAATCATAATAATGTGCAGGTTCTAAGAAACATTGTAAAGGATGATAAGCTAAACATTATCTACAAAATAAATTGGGAAAAACACTACATCGGACAGAGTGGTCGCTCTTTTCGCATCCATCTCTACATGAACATCAACCAGCAGTGAAGTATCATAACAGATCTTCGCTCATATCAATGCATAGGAAGACAATTATTATCATTATTATTATCAGTCACTCGGGTTCCTAATGGAACATAGGGCTTCAATAGCACGTCCCCAGTGAACTCTGTTCGCCGAAATCTTTTCAACCTGGCTCCACGACAGCCCACAAGCTCTCATTTCCTCCTCGCACGATCTCCTCCATGTCACCCTCACCTTCGACGCCTAACTCGTCGCTTCCCATCGGGGTTCCACTCGAGCAACTGGCCTGATGCGTGCGTGATGTCCCCAGTCGGCCTTCTCAGTGTATGCCCAACCCAATCCATCTACACTTCCTTCCAATGCATATTTGTTGGGTGATAGGTTCTTGGTTAGTTCGTTCTCAGAGCTCCTTGTTGCTTATTCTTATTATGCTGGCCATCTGATCTTCATTAACGAGCCAGTGTAGGCAGTTGTTGATGAATGTCTGTAGTTTATTGGAAATCCCTTTCGCAACGCGTCAAGTCTTTGAACCATACAGAAGCATTGGCTTGACGTTGGTGTTGAAAATCCGGATCTTGTTCACACTTTGTGCTGAGTGCAGAAGATCTCCACACTGGTTTCAGGCTAATGAACGCCTGTCTTGCTTTTCCGATTCTGACTTTGACATCTTCGTCTGTCCCGCCTGTAGTAGGAGGACAATAGAGGATATGAATTTGATTGAGAAAATACAAACAATGCCAGAGAATTTTTTAGAAGTTTAGTATTCAGATCAATTAGCAATCAAAAGATATGCTGACAGACACTGAACCAATCTCTCAATCAATAAGAAACAACAAAAAAGTTGAAGATCAGGTGAACAGGACAACCAATCAAATTAAGTGTAGAGACGATGACAAGACTTTGGCAGAAACAACCAACTAAATAACTCTACAGCTCACTTCTTCCTGAAGTTTGTGCTGCTGCTGATGATGTTATCTAGAATGACAATAAAAGCTTCATAAATAAACTAGCCAGCTCAGAGAACGAAACATCATCAAATATAGCTTTCTTTTATTTCATATAACATATATTAATTTTGGTGACTAGCAGAGGAATCCAGAACGCGCATTTCGTTCTATTTGGAACTCATCAACAGGATGTAACTACACCCCAGTGAGTGATGTTGTCCCTATTGACGCTCAAACCTAGTACCAATCTTTTTAAACACCAAAGCGTTATCTACTAAGCCACTGAGGCACGATAACCACCGATTATGAAAGGTGCGTCAGTTGTTGTTGTTGTTATGATACTTGCAACTTCCCCGTTGTTATACAGGAACGAATTGCTCGACCTCTGTTGGTAGATGGACTCCTATGCGGATACTTCGATACTGACGGATATTTATAGTGTTATATATTCATCTTGGTGATTAGCAGAGGAATCCAGGATGCACGTTTTGTCCTATTTTAGACATACAGAGCAGTCCATTTGCCAACAGAGGTCGAGCAATTCGGCCCTACATATATAGGTCGACTTGAAGGCACTAATTAGCAAATCTCTGGTATTTTTCGATAGAGTAACTGAATGACGAAGTTTATCTGAACAACGTGATATATGTTCGCAATACATTTGGCACAGTCTGATCACACACACACACACATTCACCTGTCAAGTCAATTTTTCTTGAACCAAAGAGTGGGAGGACAAATCCAACAAATAGGATAACAGGGGATTAAAACTAAGAGAGATGAGAACATAAAGAAACAGAAACATCGTTGCTATTAATCTTGACAGGAAAACAAACTTTACGAAGGTAGATGTAGGTGTAGTGTAAGAACAAATTGTTTTTATACACATAAAAACGATTTCACTTTGTGTATAGCTATTGCTTCAGCAAATTTCAGTATACTTCCCTCACTGCTTCTATATAAAACTTTAAAAGTTGTTTGAACAGTGATTGTGTAATAATGACGGTCGTCTCCCAAAAGTGTTTATCAACGTTTCACACTCCATTTGTTGTTGAAGCCATTTAGGTACATGTTCTCCCATCCACAACTGTATGACTCGATTACTTCTCTCTATGTAGTGTGACCACACACACATGTAAATTGGTCAACACAATGGGATGTGATGTAATCATTGATGCAGTGTGAAGCGTGTCTTTTGTTTTTTTCCACAATAATAGGATTCGCCGTGTAATATGTTTTCTTAATGACTGATGTCAGCCTACATCTCAAAATGATACTATTCAACTACCCTCTGTATGATAGAGTGATATGGACGCTTTTCTTAGGAACCGTGTATACACTTGGCTTTGGTGCTACTTGATCTCTACAACGGTTTATTAACTTCATCGGATATCCACTTTTTATAAGTGCTTTGGTCAGTAATTTGATATCTTCATCCATCATATGTGGCGTACTGATACGATAGATCCTTTTAAACAGGCATTTTACTAGACCTCGCTTGTGCTGGATTGGACAAAAACTGTGAAAATTCAGGTATTGTCCTATCGATATAGACTTTCTACAAAATAACCGTCTTAGTGAACCATCTTCTCATCGACTCAGGCGTATATTTAGGAATGGCAGTTGACTATTATCCTCTTTCTCACGAGTCAGACTGATACGAGCTTGTATGGTGTTAAGTCTGTTCAGTAGACAAACCATATCCTCATGCCTCTCACAAATCACTATGATGTCATCAACATATCTCTTGTAAAGAGGAACTTTAGCCATAAGATCATCAGCCAGATTTTCGATATATGACATATAAATATCAGCTAGTAATAGTCCTAAGGGACCACCCATAGCTGCACACCATCAACTTGTCAAAAGCATTCACCTTTAAATGTGAACTGAACTTTATCGGTACACAGCAATAATAGCTCTCTCAGAAAAGTTAGAGCAATAGAAAATGGGAAGTTTCTAGAAGATATGTAGTCATAGAGGATGTTAACTGTCTTGGACAATGGCACGTTAGTGAATTAAGAATTTACATCGACAGAGTATACAGTGATTTTTTTTTGATATTCATGTTACTAAGACAGTTAACAAGTTGTATTCTTCCTCCAACTCTTCACATAAGTAAATGTGTGGTCAGATTGTTTCGAAATATACTGAGTAAATACATCACATATTGTTCATACAAACTTAATCTTCTAATTAAGCTATCGAAATTCACAAGAGAAACTAAATTGTCCAGTATTTTAACGAAAATTATAATAATGATTTACTAATCAAACTGGTTAACCAGTGTGGAGATTTTCTGCACTCAGCACAAAGTGTGAACAAGATTCCGATGTTCAACACCAACTCAGTCAAGTCAGTGCTTCTGTATGATTCAGAGACTTGGCGCGTTACGAAAGGGATTTCCAATAAACTACAGACATTCATCAACAACTACCTATGCTCACTCCATACTGAAGATCAGATGGATTGCCAGAAAGAATAAGCAACAAGGAGCTCTGGGAACGAATTAACCAAGAACCTATCACCCAACTAATATGCATTGGAAGGAAGTGTAGATGGACTGGGAAGAAGGCCGGCTGGGGACATCACGCATCAGGCCAGTTGTTCGAGTGGAACCCAGATGGGAAACGACGAGTTAGGCGTCCAAGGTGAGGATGACATGGAGGAGATCGTGGGAGGAGGAAATGAGAGCTTGTGGGCTGTCGTGGAGCCAGGTTGAAAAGATTTCGGCGAACAGAGTTCACTGGAGACGTGCTTCTGAAGCCCTATGTTCCATTAGGAACCCAAGGGACTAATAATATAATAATATAATAATAATAATAATAATAATAATAATAATAATCAAACTGGTTACAACTCGATTTCAACAACAACCGGTTTAATCAGTAGATCTTTGAATTACTTGAAACAAAATAACAGAGGTTATCTCTTTCTATTCCAGGTATTTATTGTAGAACACTGAAGCGTATAATTTTGAAAACGTTTATAGGACTAACTGATGAAACTAATGTAGAACCTCTCACACAAGTGGTGTATCACTTCAAGTCACCACACTTCACAGTAGCACAGGTGGATAGAAAACGACTGATATCAAAGTAGACAAAGTTGTATCTATCCATTCATCCGTCAATATCAACAGAGGACCGGGCATTACTGCGTAACCCTCTGAGTTGCCACACCTCATATCACTCAATACATCAAGAAAAGGCAATGAAGTGGAAGGTGGAGAAAAGAAAATTCAGTCAAAGGAAATATAAAGTACTAAGAGAGAGAAAGGGAGAATGAGAAAATGGTGAGATTCGATATAGCGTTAGGATGGTGATGATATGTATGTATACATCTGCTCCAATGACATCGGTTCTCAGCCATGTGATCATCTAGAGTCAGTCTCCAACCACTAGTTTCTCTTGTCCCGCCGACTCCAATCGGGCTAGATAGTCTCCATCGCCCCCCTACATGGTTCAAACCAACAGTCAAACACTTCATACATTGATGCCATGTTTCAACCTGGCCATCTCGAGCCTTTTTCCAGCCTGAACCTATTTCGACCAACATTGTATGTTGAGGAAGACGGCGACTAGGCATACGTAACACATGTCCCAACCAGCCATCTCAGTAGATGAAGGTTCACAACCACACCAACAGACTTACCTCTTCTCCTAAAAACTCTACGCCTAACTTCTACGTTGCAAAGTTGGGAGACAACAAAAAACAAGCTGAAGATTAATGTTGGTGCAAATATTCAAGTTCTGGAAGATGTTAAAGAGGTGAATACATCTATACCACTGTGACCAATTTTCAGCCATGTCATCAACGATCAGTCTTCCTTTCGTCTCAGGGACCCCGACTAGACCGTTTACATATCCTAACCCTACTCAGATCAATAGTAGGAAACTTTATCGACTGCTGCGGCGTCTTGATTTGAACCCTTTCCCAACTTAATCCAACTTCCCTTAGTATCACACGTCGAGGTAGGCGGTGGATCAATATGCAAAACACATGTCCAAGCCACCTCATCAATCGACTTGCTTATCTCGCCTACTACCCTTCACTTGATCTCAACATCACACGATGATTCTATGAAACGCAAGCAACTCTACGAAGACATCTGTAATCAAAACTACGTGATCGCTTCATGCCTTCTACTTTTAACAACCATGTCTCATAGCCATATAACAGGACAGAACGGACAGTAGACCAGTATACTCGTTCTTTGATAAACAATCAGATATCCTGTAAGTCAGCGCCACAAATAACGCAAGTTGGCAAATGTTAAACAAGTCTTTTGTATCCGAACAGAGATTTCGTCACCAACCTGCCCCGTTCCAGCTGATTCTAAGCTCTGGAGCATCATCTTACTAGTATGAAAGGTTCAATACGAAGGTTTGTGAGGATGTATTCAGTGATTTCAGGTTGGCATTCATGATGGATTGACATTAGATGGAGAATCTATGGAAACAAACCTAGTAGTACTGGATAGCTATGTTACGTAATCGTATAAAACTCCTCAGGAGTGCTCACTCATGATACCATCCTCTAGGGGGTCGAACCCGGGCACTTTCAGGTTTCATGACTAAAATATTACCTATTCAGTTACTGGGTCAACTAATAATCAGTCTATGATGAATACAAACCTGAAATTAATAGTATATAAAATAGTTTGAGTCATAAGGGGGAAAAAATTAAAACAAAGTAAAAATAAATTTTCTTACACTAAGTTTCCGTTGCATTTCATCCAATTGTGTCATATATTCATCATAACGTTGAGCAAATACAGCACGTAGAGATGCATAGATTGCAGCATCTTCTTTAAGCGTTTTTAATTCATTACGTAATTGTTGCATTGTTGATGTAACATTAATTTTCTCTTTTTCATATTTTTGTTTTAAATTAGCTAATGCTGTTTCAGCTGTTGTTTTATTCGCTCTTAACATATTACGTAATGCATGAACTTGTTCACGTTTTGTTTCCAATAAACTTTTAAGGCGTAAATTCTGTTGTTGTGTCTCTTCAATATCTAAAGTACTACGTCCAGGAACCTATATTACCATTGAAAAAAGTATAAGAATACTCACATGATAAGGGATAATAATAATAATAATAATAATAATAGTGATGCTCAGTGATGCTTTTTAAGTGAAGACAGCAGTAAGACAAAACGGTCTATTATCACCCATGATATTCCTGATTGTGGTGGACTGGATCATGCAACAAACAGTGGGGGGCTGTGAGAAGAGGGGGATACGCTGGCTGGACTGCGGAAAAGAACCTAGAAGATCTGGATTTCGCCGATGACTTGTGTCTAATGTCACACAAACTTGAAGACCTACAGGCGAAAACTAACAAGTTGACAGGAGATGCAGGGCAGCGAAGACGGGACTTCAAGTGAATATAGAGAAGACAGAGGTGATGAAGATACCGCACCAACAACTCCAACAACAATAACATACTCCAATCACCATCTACGGGAGAAACTTAAAGGAAGTAGCCTACTTCACCTATCTAGAAAGCACGGTTTCAACTACAGGCGGCACAGGCACAGACGAGGATGTCAAAGCCAGCCAGAATCGGAAAGACAGCAAGACAGGTGTTGATTAACCTGAAACCAGTGTGGAGATCTTCTGCACTCAGCGCAAAATGTGAACAAGACCCGGATTTTCAACACTAATTTAGTCAAGTCAGTGTTTTTATGTGATGCTTGAGATACTTGGCGTGTTACGAAAGGGATTTCCAACAAACTACAGACATTCATCAACAACTGCCTACACTGGCTCGTTAATGAAGATCAGATGGCCAGAATAATGAGAATAAGCAACAAGGAGCTCTGGGAACGAACCAACCAAGAACCTATCACCCAACTAATATGCATTGGAAGGAAGTGTAGATGGATTGGGCATACACTGAGAAGGCCGGTTAGGGACATCACGCGTCAGGCCAGTTGCTCGAGTGGAACCCCGATGGGAAGTGACGAGTTGGGCGTCCAAGGTGAGGGTGACATGGAGGAGATCGTGTGAGGAGGAAATGAGAGCTGTTTGTTGCATGATCCAGTCCACCACAATCAGGAATATCATGGATGATAATAGACAGCCTTGTCTTACTGCTGTCTTCACTTCAAAGGCATCACTGAGCTTCCCATTGTGAATTACTTGGCATGTGGCGTCTTCACATAGTTGTTGAATGAGATTGATAAAGGTTTGTAGTATTCCGTAGTGTTGAAGCAGTTGCCAAATTACTTCTCGGTCAACGCTGTCGAAGGCCTTTTCAAAGTCGATGAAGTTGAGGCAGAGAGTTGACTGCCATTCTGTACTCTGTTCTATGATGATGCGTAGCGTTTCAATTTGGTTTGCTCATGTATATATGTGACATACGGAACTGATAGCTCAGGATTTAACCAGTAATGTCTCATTCTATGCAAGATATGTTGATGATATCATTTTCATATGCGACATAGATGAGAATGTAGAATAAGTAACCAATAATAGTTGAAGAACACTTCGTACATTTGAAAAGCTTATTTCAAATGTATACAGAGTAGTAACTACTTTTTCGAGGGGGGAGGGGAATATTGCATGCAAACAGATTGAAAAGTCTTTATCACCTATCAAGATAGACAACTTTCTAATATCATCTTATATTCATGTAGTATCATTCAACAATTCATTCTAAAACGATTACTTCCGTTTAATAAATGTCTATAAGGGTATTAGAAGACAAAGATTATCTGAACAATGTGTGATTGATGTATTTGCGCAGTGGATTACGGACAATCTGATCCACTACACATTTACTTGTCTCAAGTCAATTTATATGTATGAAAATGAAAGGTTAAATAGGATTAATGGCTCAAGATTTAATCACTAATGTCACATTCTATAGAAGATATGTTAATGATATCTTTGTAATATATGACACAGATGAGAATATGTTAAAAAGGCTTAATACCGTACAAGATCATATTAGTCTGATATGTGAGGAAGAAAATGAGCATCAGCTTGCATTTCTTGATATACTATTGTGCCGGAGGTGAAAATAAATCTATCAGACGATCAATATAATATAGGAAGCCTACTTGGACAGCGTTTGTCCAGTGGAATATAAGAAAGGCTTAGTAAGACAAATGTTCAATAGAATCCAACGTATTTGTACATTTGATACAATGGATGATGAGAAGAAATTTTGTGACAGATACACTAATGGAAAATGGATTTTCATTACAGTTTATCAACCCCAAAGCCCATAGTTTTCTCAGTCCCGAAGAAAAACATATTTCTTAAAGTTCCATACAGGAGGTAAACGAGTACTATGATATCGAAACACAGATAACAATCTGTTATCATCAGTAAAACATACTATGCAGCTCAGCATATCATTGTTGAGACAAGAAAATACCTGCTTCATCACAAACCTCAACCTCGTATAAATGATTATGTCATATCCCACTATGTTTACCAATTTACATGTACATGTGGGCACATATACATAGAGAGGAGTAATTGTTCAATGCAAACTAGGATGGGTGAACACATACTTAAATGCTTTGAAAAGCAATTTAACACATAAACATTGATAAATGCAGGTGACAGACATCCATTGTCATCTATAACAAAACATCTTCATTGAAATAAATCACAAGGTTAATTTGAAAACAGCAATAATCAGGAGAGCATACTGAAGTTTACCGAAGCGTTAGCCAATCGTAAACTTAAGCCTCAACTGTGCGTATAAAAGTAATTTGCTCATTCACTTAATTTACCTTGGTAACCTGATTATATTACCAAGATAAGTGCCACAACCTTTTCATATTCATGATATTTAACCTTTTATTGTCATGTATACATTGACTTGAGATAAGTAAATGTGTAGTGGACCAGATTGTTCCAAATGTATATTGTGCAAATACATCAATCACATATTGTTCAGATAAACTTCATCTTGTTATGGAAATTTCTTAAAGGGAATAATTATGATAATTTGGTTGGTTGTGGCTAGCAGAAGAATCCAGGACGAGCGTTTCGTCCTATTTGGGACTCGTCAGCTGGATGTACCTGCACCCCAGTGGGTCATGTTGTTCCCAGTGAGACTCGAACGTCGCACCCATTGCTTAACAATTAAATAACAAGTATGTCAATAAATGGTAATAACTATCCCTCGTTGTACAAGAAATGGCTGTCGTTTCTTTGTGGCACAGTGGATAACGCCTTGGCGTTTGAAGCGATGGGTACGAGGTTCCAGTCTCAGTGGGAACAACATCACTGGGGTGCAGGTACACCCAACTGACGAGTCCCGAATGAGACGAAACGCGCATCGTGGATTCTTCTGCTAGCCACAACCAACCAATTTATCATAATTAACATTCACGCAATATCGATGCATTCGCATAGGAACCCCTATATCAATAGAGGTTGAACAATTCGATCCAACACAACAAACAACGGAGAATAACAGGCAAGTCAATAAATAGTAAAGGGAATAATTGTCTCAAATACTTATTACATCTGCATAATGTTAATAATAACAGTATTGAAGGTATAAGTGTGAAACATGCAGCTAGTGTGTTATATTAGCATCTGATCATGGACTAGAAAATGAATATAAAATCGAGTGTAATCTTGATGGTCGCAATTCATTCATTCATTCAGTCAGTCAGTCAACAAATCTATTTCCAACCAGCGAAATGTTTTTCTTATATTTTGTTTTTAGCTTGAGAAACAACAGTTTTAAAAACGTGTGACAGTAAATGATGCCTTTACAAGATATATATAAAAGATTAAAACAAATTGAAAGGGGGAAGAATTTGATGGAATATAATCAGTAGTAGCCCAAGATGTATATAAGCCGACAATAATTGACAAGAAAGTAAGTAAGTAAGTAAGTAAGTAAGTAAGTAAGTAAGTAAGTAAGTAAGTAAGTAAGTAAGTAAGTAAGTAAGTAAGTAAGTAAGTAAGTAAGTAAGTAAGTAAGTAAGTAAGTAAGTAAGTAAGTAAGTAAGTAAGTAAGTAAGTAAGTAAGTAAGTAAGTAAGTAAGTAAGTAAGTAAGTAAGTAAGTAAGTAAGTAAGTAAGTAAGTAAGTAAGTAAGTAAGTAAGTAAGTAAGTAAGTAAGTAAGTAAGTAAGTAAGTAAGTAAGTAAGTAAGTAAGTAAGTAAGTAAGTAAGTAAGTAAGTAAGTAAGTAAGTAAGTAAGTAAGTAAGTAAGTAAGTAAGTAAGTAAGTAAGTAAGTAAGTAAGTAAGTAAGTAAGTAAGTAAGTAAGTAAGTAAGTAAGTAAGTAAGTAAGTAAGTAAGTAAGTAAGTAAGTAAGTAAGTAAGTAAGTAAGTAAGTAAGTAAGTAAGTAAGTAAGTAAGTAAGTAAGTAAGTAAGTAAGTAAGTAAGTAAGTAAGTAAGTAAGTAAGTAAGTAAGTAAGTAAGTAAGTAAGTAAGTAAGTAAGTAAGTAAGTAAGTAAGTAAGTAAGTAAGTAAGTAAGTAAGTAAGTAAGTAAGTAAGTAAGTAAGTAAGTAAGTAAGTAAGTAAGTAAGTAAGTAAGTAAGTAAGTAAGTAAGTAAGTAAGTAAGTAAGTAAGTAAGTAAGTAAGTAAGTAAGTAAGTAAGTAAGTAAGTAAGTAAGTAAGTAAGTAAGTAAGTAAGTAAGTAAGTAAGTAAGTAAGTAAGTAAGTAAGTAAGTAAGTAAGTAAGTAAGTAAGTAAGTAAGTAAGTAAGTAAGTAAGTAAGTAAGTAAGTAAGTAAGTAAGTAAGTAAGTAAGTAAGTAAGTAAGTAAGTAAGTAAGTAAGTAAGTAAGTAAGTAACTCATTGAATCAGTGTAAACATAACCACTGAAAAGAAATCAACCATAACCATAAAAGACAACTTCTCAGAGGGGGAAAAAAAATCAATTATTATATTGTATAGAAGGAGATCTTTATTTCTTCCCAAAACGCTTTTTTTGATACGCCTTTAAAAACAATCCGGAATGAAACAATCACATAAACATATACTAATATGATGATTAATTTGCATTCAAAACTATACGATTTCTGATACTGAAAATTAAACTAAATTAGTTTCTTTACTAGCAAAACTATTAGACCTTAGTTACTATACGACAGTTGGGCGTTCGAGGGTGACATGTAGGAGGAGATGGTGTGTGAGGAAGAAATGAGAGCTTGTGGGCTGTCGTGGAGCTAGGTTCAAAAGATTGCAGAGAAGAAAGTGAGATGGAGACGTGCTATTGAAGCCTTATGTTCCATTAGAAACCCAAGGGACAAATAATAATAATAATAATAATAATAATACTATACGACAGACAGATATACAGAATCAACGCAGTACCCTTACACACAAGAACCTATCACGCAACAAATATGCAGGAGGAAGTGGAGATGGATTGTGCATGCACTGAGAAGGCCGACTGGGGACATCACGCGTCAGGCCAATTGCTCGAGTGGAACCCCGATGGGAAGCGACCAGTTGGACGTCCGAGGGTGACAAGGAGGAGGTCGTGCGAGGAGGAAATGAGAGCTCCTGGGCTGTCGTGGAACCAGGTTCAAAAGATCTCAGAGAACAGAGGTCACTGGAGACGTGCTACTGAAGCCCTATGTTGCATTAGGAACCCAAGGGACTACTAATAATAAAATAATAATAATAATAATAACACCCTTGCACACAAGTGTATCGATTGAAGATCAATTGCAGAGAAGATACCCAGGAGTGAATAAATTTGCGCTATTGTAACCAATTTCCACCCATTCATATCTCAATAACTTGAAATCACTACACGTCTAAGATGATGTAGGCAAGAGAATAATAGCGAAGCATGTAACATGTACGCTGAACTGAATCAATACAGATAGGGAACATGGCACTACTGTGCAACAATCCAAGTTGTCACAACTCACATCATTCTATCAAAATAGGCAATGGAAATGATACAATCATCCTACGAAGGAAAAAAAAATCAAAGTAAACAATACAGTTTAAAATGACAATGACGATAAAGATCAGATGAGGATAAATCTGTCCCAATGCTCAATAGGTTTTCGACCATATCATACAGAATTTCCAACTATCCATTTCACTTGTCTTTAAAAAATCCCTAACTATATGCATCTAATTTTAGGAGAATATGCAGTTGTCCACGGAGTCATATCATATCTTGATGAGGTCATCCCACCCCAGTAACCTTTCAATCGAAGTCAACTTGGATTAACACTGCATGCTGCAGTAGGCAGCAACTTTAGAGATCGACACTACAGTACTCTCTATCTTAACTGGTCATATCTCATAGTTGTAGAATAGAAGAACAGAAAAAAAGAAACTAAATGTGCAATACACTCAATCTTTAACAAGCAATCCAATATCTTGTCAGAGTTCTATCATATTCCGATTATAAAACAGGGATATCTGTGGGAATTATGTTGCATAATGAGTATGCTACGATCAGAAAAGCGGAAAAGAAATTGTATAATAGCTGAGTATGAATAAAATGTGACAAAATGAAGCTGTTTCTTATAGATGAGCAGTTATCTATGCTTATAATCCCTTTTCTATCGGAAGGCGAACCAGTCAGCCGCAAAAGTAAGAATAAACGATTGGAGACCTTCGATGACACAGTTGAAAAGCAGTTACAATGGCAACCATCTATTTCACTCTTTTGAACATTCTTACTAACCTTGGTTTTCAAATTACTTCTCCTCCTAGACACTTTAGTCTACCTTGATATAGTTCTTTTCCTATTCACTTGTTCATTGGATGCTTCTGTGAAACATGGTAAATTGAACCAATGCATTTCTGAGTCGTCAGGTTACATATGTTAGTTTATCTGTCTGTCTGTATACTACAGTTAACAGTAAAGACCACTCCATTAAAAAGTCCTTATAAATCGATATCAATACACACCAACCTAATGAAACATTAATAACAATCTGACTGCAGACTTCAATCCTAAATGGTGAATATCAGTTCCCGAGAGAATGAAGAAATACTCTATTAATAAGTGTCAGCAAGTGAGACGAGGGAATTTAAGCATACTTTATCAAAGCGTTAGCCAAATACTATACACCAATTTTAAAAAAAACTTATGTTTCATAATGTTTTGAACAACATACCGTTGAAGCATCCTCTAAAATACTTTACAACTTATTTGATCATCTAACTATTTTCAATCTTACTTTTTTCTGGCATGACTTAGCATATTATCAAGCATTTTTTAATGCTCCTTTGATACTTGTAATTACCCTCATGGCTATACAGGAACGAATTGTTCGACCTCTATTCCTAGATGGGCTCCAATGAGGATGCCTAGATACTAGTGGATATTCATGATGTTGTTATTCATCTCGATGACTTGCAGTGGGATCCAAAACGTACGTTTTATCCTGTTTGAGATTCCTCAACTAGATTTACCTACACCTCAAATCAGTGATTTTGTTCCCATTGAGACTCAAACCAAGTAACCATCATTTCAAACCCTAAAGTGTGATCTACGAGATCACTGGGGCACAACTCCCACCTCTTGTGCAACGGGTATCGGTTGTTGTTGTTGTTTGATACTTGTCTCAGTGGGAACAATATCACTCAGTAGGGTGCAGGTACATACAGCTGATGAGTCAGGACAAAACCCGTATCCTACATTCCACTACTAGTCACCAAGACGAATATTACATTCTTCAATGCCCTTTCCTGGTGGAATGATGTGACTTTTCATGAGTGTTGTCAACAATTTTTCTTTACCAGACCATAGGAAGTTGTCACTGAACTTTAGTAGGAGTAGGTTAACGAGTCAGCTTCAAACTTCTCAGTTCCTTATTGTGACATAATAGATTAGTTGTCATTAAAATGACAAAGGAACTTAAGAAAGCTTTTTCAAAAATAAAACAAGTACAGTAGCCTGATAATCTGCATGATTGTGACTAGCAGAGGAATCCAAGACGCACGTTTCATCCAATTCGGGACTCATCAGCTGGATGTAAGTGCACCTCCGGCAACTCATGTTGTTCCCTTTGAGACTCAAATCTCGTACTCATCGCTTCAAAAGCCAAAGTCGAATCCTTCCATTAGCCAAAACCAAGTAAATTCTAAGAATAAGCATTCAGGCAATATCGAGATATCCGCATAGGAGTTCATATGCCAACACAGGTCGGTGAATTCGATCCAGTATGACAACGGAGAATATCAAGGTTGGCAGGCTAGTATTTATACTGGATGATGATTGACGGTAAAATGAAAATTTGGTTCACGGCCGGATTCGAACCAGCGACCAACCGATTTCTGGCACGATGCTCTACTAAATGAGCTACAACGTTGGCTATTTGGTAAAAGAAGGGATTCTACAGTTTCTATGCAATCAAACAAACAAGTACCCAAAAAAAAACTTATGATTTATATCAGGAAAAGAATATACAACAAATTAGATCCATAAAGAAAAAATTAACTTTACCTGATTTGATATCTGAGAATATTTTTCATTGAATGTGTTAACTAAATGACGCAGTTGAGTGACAACTGTAAGATGTAAATCAGCTTCTTCGGATAACGCTTCAAAGTCAGATCCAGGTGTAATTTTCGATGATTTATTTGAAGAATCTTGTACTACTTGTTCATCAGTAGTTTCATCTGTTGTAACTAGATCAGATCCAACTGAATTGTCTGAAGAATCTTTATCAACTTGAAGTGGAATACTGAAACGATCTGCCACATAAGCTACCTATTTAATGAAAAGTAAAGGGGATTACTTTGAATTGACATAAAAAACTATTCTAAACTGGGAAAAAAAAAGAGTAATATTATGTACAAACTAGAACCAGACAACTAGATGAATCAAAGATGAAGTTGCTTTCCACTGCACAATGAATGAAGATCCAATTAATGACATGATCTGACGTAGACCACCATGGTAATAGGAAAAAAAGAGGGTAAATAAAAACAGATTTTGCTGAAAATTTCACAGAGAAACAAGAAATTAACTAACTGTAGTCTATTTTATAGCTAGCAATGGAATCCAGGACGCGTATTTCGTCCTATTTGGGACTCGTCAGCTGGATGTACCTGCACGCAAGTCAGTAATGTTGTCCCCCTTGAGACTTGGGCCCAGTACATTATCATCATCCATCAACATAGGATAAGGCATTTTACTTAATGCCGGTCCGAGTTGCCACACCTTATACCATTCAGTACATCAAGTAAAACGGCAGTGAAGTGGAAGATGAAGAAAAGGAAATTCAGTCAGAAGAAATATAAAGTAATAAAAGAGAGAATGAGAAAATGGTGAGATTCGGTATCGTGATAAGATGAGGATAATGTGTGTATATCTGCGCCACTGACGTCGATTCTCAACCATATTACCTAAAGTCAGTCTCCAACCACTGGTTCCTTTTCTCCCACCGACCCTAACCACCCAGTCTGCATCCTTCCATATGGCTCAAAAGAACAGTCAAGGGACTTCATACATTGATGCCATGTTTTAGTCTGGTCGCCTCGAGCCCTTTACCAGCCTCAAACTACTTCAGTCAATCCGCGACTAGGCTGAGCCCAATACCCATCACTTCAAACGTCAAACTGTGACCCACTAGACCACTGGAGTGGGATAGCCACAACTTGTCAGTGTAAGCATTATTCAGCAGAAACAGTGGTAAATCAATGACTGTTTCAGTTAATAGCATTAACGTTCTATAAAAGTTATGGTTTCGGTTGTATACAGTTTTTCATCTGATTTCCTTATTTCAACTAATATTACCGCATTGTTTAAGTGTTATTGCCATTCACAGCAAATAAGTCCATCACATCAGTCTACGACGACATTCTACAAAAACCAAATATATATGTCTACGAATATTTCGAAACAAGAATTGTCAGCCCCCCAAAACTTATGAAAAGGTAAAACAATTGTATGCATGGTTGTATTGTATTCTCTGAACTGGGTGGTTTAGTCGTGAAGCTTTCGTCGTCTTTCTAGACATTATCGTCAGCACTAACTTCAGTATGAAGTGGACTTCCAATATCTCCCCATGAGGGATTCAGTAGCTTGTCCTGACAAATTAGTTTTTGATTGGTTGTTTCCTTTGATTGTTGTGTCATTGACTGACTGTATAGACTTTCCTGTTGGCTATATTTTTGCTTCACCTCTGATCTTTCTGTCGCTTATCGTTTATCTCTTTCGTTGATAGATTGGGTCTACTGATTGCTGACTGACCTGAATGCCAGGCTTCTAAGAATTATCTGACATTCTTTGTGTTTCTCCTCGCTATCCAACATTTCTACATTGTCAAAATTGAATTCATGTCCATACTTGTTATCCATGTGCATTGAAATGAACGACGAAATGTCGTGACGTTTAATAGACAATTGGTGTTCATATAGACGAAGGCGAAGAGGGTGACAACTTCGTCCAATGTAGTGTTGACTACAGTTATAACAGTTGATTTTGTAAATGATATTCGGTTTGTCTTCTTTGACTGTCGCATCCTTTGATCAGTCTGCATAATAGAGTTTGGAGGGAATTTGTTGGTTGATGAGTGGCCACACCAATTCCAAATGGTCTCAGTAATCTTGTTGTGATTTCTGAGTTATCCTTTATGTGTGGTAGGATGATGCGTTTATTGATTTCTGTCGATGACTCTGTAGTCGATGATGTACGGGATAGGCATCTTCTGATTAAGTTTCGCGGGCAGCCAATCTTCATTAGGATAGACATCAAGTAATTTTCTTTGTTTCTCCGTGAAGTTGTTGTACTGTGTAGTGTGTTGTCGGTCTTCTGAATAGAGTCTGAACGCAACTAGTTTTGTGCGTTGTAATCGTAATCGTAATCACGAGGATAGATAAAGGAAATGTAACAGTGGTTATAAACAAAACTGACTATGACCGTAAACCACGTGAATATCTCTCGACCGGTCCCTATGAAAAAATTCGATAAAAAAAAGTCCCAAGCAATGAAGAATAAAATAAAAAAGTAAACAGGTCAGCTTTTAAAAGAACTGAGATCATTTATCGGAGACTCATTATGGTTTTCACCATATCCAAAATCATGTACATTATCCTGTTTCTATGGATTAACAAGAATTCATAAATTTCATGTCCTTCTAAGACCGATAATGAACTTGACAAACTCTCCAACATATGCATTATCGAAATATCTCGTATCAGACCCTCCAACGCTGTTATCAGCTCAACTAAAGCATCTTATGAATTCAATTCAAGAATATTGGAACTATCTATGGTAGAGAAGGAAATAATGGTTAGTTATAGTGTTATTGCTTGTATTATCCTGTCGTTAATTGAACCAAATTGATCGGTCTCTATTGGCATATGGAATCCTGTGCGGATATCTCGATATTGCCTGTGTTTTAATTATATATATTATTGATGAGGTGGTCAGTTCACAGTTTGAGTCCATATGGGAAAGAAATCAATCACTAGGATGCAGGTACATCCAACTAACGAATCCCAAAAAGGATGGAACGCATGTCCTGGATTCCACTGCTATCCATCATTAATGGTAAGTTACGATGTTGTTTCGGTGTATACTAGCATTCTGATTGAAAAATACTTAGAATTGCTAGAGTGTGATCAAACGATGGCCGACAGATTTCCGTTGAACTCCAGCCTCATCATGAAAGTATTCAAATTATATAGATAAGCAAATGGAGTAGCAATAGGTTCCTCTAAGTCGTTGCAAACCTCTTTATGTCTCACATTGAATCCATGATCATCAAACCGCGTATTCGGCTCAGATAAGTAGATGATACATTTGTAATTTTAAGAAGACCGGTGCCCAGAACGTTTCAATGATAATTAAATACTCATTCGTCCAATATTAAATTCACATGTAAACATGACAATGAAAGCGGTGAACTACCATTCCTAGACTGTTTAATAAAAAGGAATGGAAATGTAAGTCTAACTTTATCGACTTATCGTAAACCAACACATTCAAATCAGAACACCCATTCACTGCTAAACTTCCGCTTGCTTGGAGCTTATACGGCAAGGCCATGAAGCTCGTCATTGGATGGAGACGACAGACAAACGGAAGTTACATTAATATATGCGTTAAATTCCAATAACTACCCTGAGAACGTCATTCAAACGACTCAAAAACATGAGCAGAAGGATAAAAGAGGGAAATCAAATGATGATTCTTGAACTATCACAGTAGTTCTACCATTCCTCTAAGATAAAACTGAAAAGAATTTTAAGAAATCACCGAAATAAAGTCTCTTATAAGACAACCAACACTTTACTCCACTTAAAAGATAAACTTTCTTTTACCTCCACACAGAATTTTGTCTACAAATGAGTCTGTATTGATTGTGAAGCCTTTCATACAAAAATATTTAAATGATCAACCGATGCCTAGTTTGAATATCTTTATAGCTAGCTGAGTTCACTTGTTTTAACTTCCTTTGAAAAGTAAAGCTAGTTGAAAGCTAAATTGTCGACATCGCGCATGATGTCAACAACCTTGGTTCCAAACAGAAAAACATCCTAACTTCTCAGTATTGCAACTCATTGAAAGTACTTACGGAATAGAAATGACATAGTTATTCTAGAACCTTGATAAGAAATCTGGTGTAGTTGTTATGAATATACAAGACTACAAAGACAGTGGATTGAAAAGTACCTAAACTTTTACAGCTTCTGTCTAATACAGTTGAAATGGGGTTTAATATAGTGCTTGTTTAAAAAGACCCAATGTATCTGCACAACAGAATAACGTATAACGTATACCTACTGAAGTCCGTAAATCGGTAGGAAAATGAGTGAACGTTGCGAACTATTCAGTGTACATCACGCTACAGTATTAGGGGGGGGGGGGACAAAGTATTTTAAGAGTTAATTAAATCATTGATAGAACATACTATAGAGCCAAACTCATTACGCAGAAGAAGAAACTCGTGCTCCAATATGCACCTAAATGCTACATACATGATTACGTTACACTTAGTTGTGTATGCCAATTTACATGTGTTATGCAGTGATACATACATTAGGAGGAGGAGTAGTAGTTGAACTATAAAGTCCAGAATGGTGGAACACATCCTTAAATGGCTGCAGAAACGATTAAACTGAAATAACCTGATACATACAGAGGACAGACAGACATCCTCAGACTATAAGTAAACACATTATCGAAATATGTCACAGGATTGACACCAAAACAGTCTTTAGACCATTGTACAGAAGCCGTCAAGATCGTATACGTAGGTTTATTGAAGCCTTAGCCGGACGAAAGTTGAAACTCCCTTTTTATACCTAAAAGCAATTCATCCTCACCTCATTTTAATGTCAACATTGGTGTGAAAATGTATTACTCCTTCTTATCATCCTTTATTTTTCCTAATCTTATATTCGCTTAATTTATTTATCTTACCCCAACTTTATTAGTAAATGTATGATCAAAATGTTCAAAATGTAGTGCACAAATAATTCACACTTCTCAGATAAACTCAATTTTCTTATATCTGATGCAAACTAATTTATTACTATGAAATAAACGCATGCTGAAGTACTCAATGCAAAAGTGTCACACTTTTCACTTTCGAGGTTAAGCAAGGGTTGGAGAAACATAATTAGTGAAACACTGAAAGTCAACTAGCACCTTAGGCAACTGACACATTAGGTTAGGGTGAACTCCAGCTACCATATTTGATAAAGAGCTACAACCAGACAACATGGGATCGAGAGTCAGGTTGTAAATCTATCTAGTTCATCCTTAGTGAGTAGGTTGATTTTTTTACCAGTACCTTAGAGGTGTAGAAGTTTTGAACCCATGTCTGCATTACCAATTTACAACTCTTGAAATCGATAACAAAAGGTGATGAAGTTCAGGATACAAATTTAAGTCTCTATATCCTAACTGAAGACAATGTAATAGCACTAGCTTGTGTCATCGGGATATATTTCTTAGAGATATGGGAAATTTGGAGATGAACAGGAGAACCTACAACTCAAAGTTGATTAGTGGTACTGCCTTTAAGGGAAAAGCACAGTGTTACCTCTCAAATTCTTTAAGACACTGTGGTAGTTTTAAACAGCATTGACTAAGTTTCTTAAGAAAGTGAGTGTTTTCACCACCGCTTTTTTGCGTGTAAAATAATCGCATAGGTTAGGAAAAACCGCATTATAATAGTTTTTTTGCTAACTAGACTACACTGTTCCAGTATGGTACATAGGAGCAACTACTCTCGATTTTACCAACATCATATGACTTTCTCTGCTTCCTATCTCTTACTGGTTGTACAATCCATGAAGTGTCGATTTAAGCTGGAGGCAAAATTCTCACCTGTTTCTCGTATCTTAACTACTTACTCGGATAATCACGAATACAAACTTACCGAGTAAAATACCAGCCAGTAGAAAGAATCAAAAACAGTGGTGCGTTTCATATCCTTAATATGGGTTTACGTCGAATAAAGTAAAACCGAATTACTGGTGGCAATAACTGACGATGATTGAAAAAAAAAGAGAAACGAAATTAAAAAAGGTGTAAGCAATGTATACACACCGTTACGATCTGTATAACAGATACCTCACTTTCATATATAATGTTGAACCTAAAATCTTGAGAATAAAGGATTGTACTGATAGTTTAAACTGAGATTTTATTGGATAAGTCAAAAAAGATTGCGAATACTCTACTTATCTGCAGGCACCTAAAAAGTTTAGTGCGACAGGATTCTAGTTAAACTTATGATAACATAGGAAAGAAAGAAAAAGACATGAACTCGAGTAATTACCTGTTTGTGTGGTGAAACCTTGATGACTGAGCATACGAAACCGTATATCCCAATGAGAACAATTAAACATTGCTTGTAAGTTTCGGTGATAGAACATACTTTGCTATAATTTGTACAAGAAATCTGTTCACTAGTAGACAATTTTTGTTGTAATACTTTTATTTCTTCGCCTCGTTGTTCTAAAATTCCATGTAATTGAACAAGTTCTTGTTTCAAACCTTCCTCTGAAGCTAATTCAGGTCGAGAATCCAGTTTCTCTCGCTCATGATATCGCCATAGGTCATGTTTCATACTGGCTATTTGACGTAAAGCTACCGAATACCGATTCTCATTTAACCGTAGAGCTTTACGTAAACGTTTCAAGTCACTGTGCGAAGTACCATTCGGATCTTCATTTTCATCTACATGAGACGTCACTGAAATACAAGATTCAGTCATGGCATTTTTACTGTTTATAGTTGTTGCTTGTACTTCTAATTCCATCTCCTTGGTTTCGAACTCAGAATCTGCTTCTGATTTAACAGACATAATTGTATCCAATTGAGCCAATAGACCATTGATACGCTCTTGTTTATTTGAAACCTCACTTGTAGCCAATTCAAGCGATCGTTGTGTGATTTCAAGAGTTCTAGTTAGCTCATTCTTTTCAGCCTCTATGTGAGCTAGTTCTGTTTGATATTTAGCTATTTCTGTGGTTCTTAATTCGGTTAGCAAATCATCGGGTGAAGGATGCTTGGTATCGACTTTTCCTTCTTGGGACTTTCCATCACTCGTAGAAAGATCCATGTTGGAGAGGTTGGCATCTAGTAAAGTAATATTCAGAATAAAAAGTTTCTGTACTTATCACTTTCTCTTTGATTTACAAAATGAGAAAATATCGATATAATTTAAAATTCAACATCGAATCAGTGACATGTTAGATTTGCAAAGTAATTTATTAGGCTTTGTTAAGAACCTTACAAAACCGGTCACTGATACAAATACAAGCATTCTTTGTTGCCTTCAAAATATTTATTTTTTCACCTAGCCTTCATTCATTTCTCTTTTCTATTCTCGTATACTTATCTCCTTTAGTGCCATAACTCCCACATCCTATTTGCATGCTACTATAAAGTGAAGCAACTTAAACCGATACACTGCTGGGTCATGCTCTACTCTGATTTAGTTGAACATGCAATAACCCTGATTGACTGACCAAATAAACGTAGAACAACGTACACAGGTGCATCGGCTTACGTTGCCATACATTACAGTAGTTCACAAAGAACAAGTTGATAGAAAAAATGACATCAAAAAGATGAAGCAATTTGAGAGGATAAACAGTCTGAAGATAAAGGTTAGTGAGAATGCCGAAGCTTTAGAAGATGTCAAAAAGTGAATAAATCTACGCCATTGTGACCGACTTTCAGCCAAGTCACGGAAAGTCAGTCCTCGGCCAACGATTCGTATCGCCCCTAGGACCCCATCCAGACAGTTCACATCTTCCCATACGTCTCAGACCAACAGTCAGAAGCTCCATCGATTGGTGCGACGACTTGGTTTCACCACCTTCAACCTTTTGTCAGCCTAATCCAACTTCTCCTAGCATGGCACATGAAGGAAGGCAGTGGCTCGGCACGCCCAGTACATGTCGCAGCCATCTCAGTCCACCAAGGTTCACATCACCAATCGAATTGCCCAGTACCTTTCACCTCACCTCAACATTGCCTATAGGGTGATTCCACAGAACACCAGCAATACTACAAAGATACCTCTGATATAAACCCTATAACCGTTTCATGTCTCCTTTTTTTATCGGCCATGTTTCACAGCTGTTTAACAGGATAGAATAAATTGCAGCGCAGCATACTTATTCTTCGATAGGTAGTCAAATATCTCGCCAGTCAGCACCTCATACGAAACATATCGGTTAATACCAAACGGGTCTTATGTATCCGAATTGGGATTTCATCAGCAACTAACTCGTGTGGACTAATGCAACTTCCAAAGTAAGTGAAGTGGTCGACATATTCCAACTGAAAGTATTTGCAGTAGACCAGTACTCCAACGTCACCTTATATTTGACAAGTGCAAGCGAAATAAATGCCAAACATACGTTTCCACTCAACGCGTTCATAGGACCCTGCATTGCGTCAGCGTCTTCACCTAACAGCACAATATCGTCTGCAATGCCGTCAGCCAGATTACTTCCTTCAGTAGATCAATTCCTGTGAAGTCAGACGTACTTAAGGTTATGTCCATTAGTACGCTCATAACGAAGTTAAATAGGAAAGGATGACAGTGGATACCGCTGGCGGAGACCACCAGCTATCGTCAACTCTCCATAAGCTCTTACTTGGCTGCATGAATTTGAGAAGAGAGCTTTGGTTGGCGTTATATACTTGCTCCGTACTCCATTCACAACACCCTCCCCCAACACTTCACAGTCAAGTGAATCAAACGCCGCATTCAGATCAACAAATACGGCAAGTGTCGGCTACTGGCCAGTGGGTTTGCTGTGCTTCAGAACCTGTTGGAGGGTGAAAATATGATCGATGCGCTCTCATCCATGTCTGAAACGTTCCTAGTTCCCTCCAGTTTGCTGTTCTCGAACATCAGATAGGCGTTGGATAACTAACGAGCCTAGTATCTCGGACACAATATTAGTCAAACTAGTTCCCTTATACTGGTCACAAGAAGACCTCTTCCTTCTTATAGACTGAGACGATCAGAGAAGTACACCAGTCTGATAACGCTACCTCTGATTCCCATACACTACCTACTACCTCGGTCACTCTAATCATAAATTTTCTACATTCATCCTTAAAAACGTCTAGTGGCAGACGGTTAGGTCCTGCTGCTTTGGGCCATTTCAGGTTCCACAGAGCTTTCTCAACTTCAAGGAGAGTTGGAAGACCGACATCTACGGTTTATTCAGGTTCAGGCTGGATTTTGGGCAAATGAAGAGTTGCTGAGGACCAGTTGAACTGTGCTTCAGTGTTCTGCCCAATGTTCTAGCTGCCTATCCTAAAAGGTTATCAGCGTCCCATCCTTACTGGTGATGGCTTCACTCACAATCCTCTCCTTGAGGGTATCCTTGACAAACCTAAATAGTTGTCGATTGATGTCTTCTCCATCTCTCACCCTTGCTTTTGTTACCCATCACTGCTCGCAATTATTGTGAAGAACTTTGGTCAGCTAACACTTAAGTTGCTTTTACTCTCCCGTATGGTCAGAGACATACAACTGGAATGTCTTCTCGAATCAATCATTTCGGATGACGTTGTGGAAATTAAATGACGTTTTCTAACCTTCGGGTGTGGGTTACCAACTGTCACTACCGCTGTTTCTACAGCAGACCTAATATCACACCAGGCTTCCTCAAGATGAGCATTGCAGTTACATTCACACAAATGCTCAGCTAATTCCTCCCTAAATACGTTCATCGCAGAACTCACCTTCTAGTCGAGAATAGATAGGCTTTACTATCACCTACCTCCTGAGACCAGTAAGGTGCAGACATACACAAGCCTGAACTAGCACACGATCGGAGTCCAAACACGTATTCCTGAAGGAGTGGCAATCCTCCGCTGACCCTCTCCAATGACGTCTCATAGCAATGTCTCTCTCGTTGTGCATCTTTGGTTTGATATCGGCAAACACCTTGTAAAGTAGTCTCTCCTCATACTTGAAGTTACCGCGCTGATTAGAAGCAAGTGGTTGTTAGAACAAAACTGCAAGAAATGATCACCGTTATCAGTTCCTTGGCATAGGATTTCGTAAGTACCTTCAAGATACCATTCAGGTTAGCTCACTTCTCCTGCTTCAGCGTTGAGTTCGCCTGCCATTATGACTACATCTGAACGTTTTGCTTTCTGTAGCAAAACTGACAGCTTTTCATAGAATTTATCCTTCTCATTATCCGAACTGCAATCAGTGTGTAGGCGGAGATTACCAATAGGCATCGATCGGTCTCACAATCCTTCCTACTTCTTGCAGATATGTCCAGTCAAACACCACACAGATGACCGTTGATTCGCATCCAGTCGAGAAGGGAACTTTCTGCTCTACAACTCAATGTTATGCCTACATGAGCGAGTCCACGAGAACTAGCCCTTGAATCTCTGGATACTCTTAGGGTGAATTTTGAAGATTCATTGCAATGGCCAAATGAGATCGAATTAATAACCATTCCTAGGTCCTGTATACGTGTCTTGGAGACAAAGTATTTACCCACGGATATAGATTTCAGAGTTCTGATGAGCAATGCTTGTGATCATATTTAGCATAGAGTTCGGACGTTGGAAGCTCCTACATGAAATCGATGGCAGGGTCTTAGGATACTAAGAATGAGGTTTCGATGGCTTTGATCGTTGCCAATAGTCGCAGAATGAAAGGTTGGTTTAATATTAGTGTCAGGAAGTGAAGGCAAAAGAGGGTAAAGAGTTGAGGAGAATAGATTGTTTGATTGAATTTTGTGGACTATGGGCAGCGTGTGGGCTCTTGACACTTGTCGGCTTTCCATATCGTGGACAGCTATTTCTTCTCAAGGTACCTCAAAGAAAAAGATCGTTGACCATAGAGCCCATGGGATATCTGCTTGCCGCCTATCACAACTTTTTGTAGGATGCTTTGAGGTATGGTTGTCCTTACGCCAGATAGAGAGAACCCATATCATTGGGATCTGAAGACTGTGGAGTAAGGAGGAGTATGCTACTCTTGGGATCGAGCCTTTCTAAACCCTTCTGTTTATCTTTCCGTTTAGAAAGCAGCACCAGCGTGAGACTGCTGGTCACCCAAAGGAAGCACCTTATTGGTCACATTTCACCCAGTCATTAGTAAAACTTCATACTCTGATTCCCATCACATTGTAACAATTTATACTGCAACGGTAACTGCTTTTGTCTTACGACTATCCATCAAACCTTTCTAGCACAGTAGGACCTCGACGGAACAAGCGGTGGTGCCAGAATAGTTCATTGGGTCATTTTAATATGCAAGCTCATCCATCACGTCAAGGTAGCGGCTTTAGGGGAGGGTAACTACTCAACTCCATAGCGAAAAACCTGTTAATTTTTACAATACAAGTAGTTACTGCAGTAATGCCTGGTTCAATGTTGATTGACATGCAACTAAGGAGACATGAAAATGATTTATACATTGGATACGGAAAGCTAATTAAGGATAAGGCCAAAACCATTCAACAAACAATGAACTCTTAACAATGAGTACGTTCATATTTTTATACACCGGAATATAAAATATATATACACGATGAGATCAATTAAGCAACTCACCTGGTTTCTGGCATTCTGAACTGTTCTCAGGAAGTTGGCCAAGCCTGTTAATATGACCCAAACCGCTGAGATTCCGTAAGTCACTAAGGTGACTTATGGAATCGGATATAATCCGGCTGTCTAGTTCTTTCCGAAGATTATGCCTCTGATCACGCTCAATTTGAAGTGACTCTAAAGCATCTTCCAAAGACTTTTCAGTCATACGTTTAAGCCGAGTGATTTCCTCCAACTGTACATGTATGATATCATTTTCTTCTTGAAGTCGTTTTAGTTCATGTCTCACACTTTCAAATTCCACCTGAAATATACAGCTTATTACAACTCGATAATACTTGGCTAGTTTAAGAGAAAGTATCGTCTTTTGCAGCTCCAAATTCTCCGCCTCTAGATCGTCGTACTCATTTAGAATTTGCACCTCCTTTGATTTCGCATCTCTTATTTCAGACTTTAAATTCCTGAACTGCTTTTCCAAGTCCTCCTGTGACGACTGCTGTTCAGAAATTCTCCGGTGCAATGCATCGTTTTCCATCATTTGTCTTTCATACTTCAGCTTTACATCTTTGAGCTCAACTTCCAAATCATGCACTTGGTTTCGCAGATCCCGCTCTCTGTTAGCTGATTCTGATACCAGGTCATCTTCCTCTTGAAAACCAGCAATACTCAGTCTCCGTTGAATGAGGTTTTGCTCCTCTAAATTCTAAGGATTATAGTATGTCAGATTCTAGCATTGCGTACCTTGCGAGTGATTTTTAATTCTCGGTCTAATTCTTCACATTTGTTATTCAACTCTTCAAGTTGATTTTGCAGCTGTTGGTTAGTTTCCAACAGCTTCAGACCATATTCAGCTGCCGCATGTTTTTCCTGTATAGACACTTTCAGTTCAGACTTTAGTTGAAGATTCTCTTCTACTAGATTTATCCCACCATCCTCCGCCATCCCACCAAAACGTTACGCACTAAACTGGATACAGCGCATCACATCAGCTGATTGAACGTGCACTGTCTAATAGACCTTTATCGCGGTAACATTTGATACTGGAATGTCGAATATGTCCCTTGTATTTTTCATATTCACATACTTGTGGTTTTATAGATATGTGAATCTATGGTGCCCAACACTGGTCAGCTGTTAACGCACCAAATTTAGAAGACAACCTAAATCAGTGGTGCCATTATTGTGAGAAACTGACAGTTTTGAGCTCTAGCAACTAATACTTGAGGCTTGTTCTTCGGTTCTTTGTCCTGTTACGGGTGGTTAAATTTACCCTTCTTCCCTGTTTCTATCTCCGGTAAAATGCATTTCTGTGGAATTTTTCGCAACTCGTGAAACAGGTTGGTATCAAGCTTTTGTTTTGCTGAGATGACTATGATTCTTTTTTGGTCGTTATCCGTTTAGGTGCCTGAGTAGGATTAGCATGATAAAGGCCGAAAAGTAGGCAGGACGTTCCTGGAGGGCTAACTGTTGCAATATGAGTATGATTTCCGGAGACCAGTAGGGATATAGAGCTAAGTTCATGCAAACAAATTATGAGTAAAATGTAGGGGATTTAGTAGCTTTTAGTGAAGGGCTAACCGGTTGATCAGTGTCTTCAGCATATCACTGGTCAGCCATACAAACTGAGTTAAATGACCAAATACATAAACATGAGGCTTTTGAGAGGGATCTAACCGCGTCCAACCGTGCGGCATTCCATTAAGCATAATCACTTAAGAAGACCTCTGACCTCACCGTGGTGCTGTTTCCCTGACTTGCTTTTATAGTTGGATCCCTTCTATCTGACCAATAGTTAACTTTTCAGGTCGGTTACTTCTTTGTGATCTCGGTACATAAAGCCACTACTGTTCTTACGAAAGCCCAAAGCGGATAGACTTAAATGTCTCATGATGTCAAGCTGCCTTTTATCCCCGAACTTGATGGCAGGTTTTTCTGCAACTTTTCGTACTTTCATAAGGAGGTTGGAGTCTCCAACTGGTTTTTGAGTGTCTCTGCTTCGTGATTTCTGACACACTTCATTCAGTCCTTTACCATGTTGGGACTAAAGCTGCTGCTTTGTGATCAGACTTTTAGTTGCTGCACGGCGTTCTAGAGTACTTCCAGTGGACTTCCTAACTTACTAGCCTCAAAATTTGGACTTCAGTAGCATAAAGAAGGGGATTTAGGGCAATTTTCTGTGGGAGATCTTGAATGAACACCAGAAACGGAAGTGCCCTACACCTCCGTCCATAGGCGACCCCACATGCAGATAACCCCTTCATGGTTAGGTCCCGTTCGCCTGTGTGTATAGCTTTCCATCTTCCAAAAAACCCCTGAACGGAGAAAGCAGTGGAGCATTCGTGATCGTTAGTGAGACTTTCTAGCTTGGTTGTTGTTCTGGATGCTGTCAGGTACTTTCGCTACATCAAGAAAAATGTGGTTTGGTTTTCTGCTTTTTAGATAGGGGTTCAGTTGTCCAACGTGGTCATCAGATTAGTGGTATACAAATGTTCACTTCAAAAGCGATTTGAGGGGTATGAACGGTGTTTTTGCAGATGAAAAAGCCCCAGATGTCATATATTTTCAGGCCCTCGAGTACACAGGACAGTATGGAGCGAAATGAAGTTGGAGCACAGTTACCAGAGTTTCCCTGTATCTCTTCTTTAAGTTATCGGTTTGGTGAAAACAGTTGCTTGGAGGAATAGATAAATAAATATCTTATTCCCTTATTAGTAACTTAACATGGGAGGAGCCAGCTTATGGACATTATCACGTTGATATATGTTGAAAAATCTCCAGGACTTTATGGGGCTTGAATGGTACGGAAGGGAGGTCATTAAATTCTATTAAAAACGTCAGAAGATTTCACAAATTCTGAAATGAACAAAAAATACCACTTTTCAGCATATTCAGAGTGTTGAAGTTTAGATCGTTTTCAGCTATACTCTTTTCGCCACTAGTGGAACCAAGGCCGAGCAAAATTCCAAATTTCCATTTCAAGCAGTCAACATGCTTGATTTGTCTTCGTAATCCCACGTTAGGCTAGGTAGACGTCTATTCCACCAGGATTCTTATGCTCATGGCTTTGGGGACCAACAGAACTTACAGTGACGACTTTGGGGGTCCGTAACTTTCCAATAAACTATGTGATCTAGGAGAATAACCATTCAAATGATACCGTTCACAGCAACATGGACCTACGCCATAAGAGTTAGATATTAATAATAATAATAAATTTCATACAACAAAGGTTACATTGTGGTGCAAGGTGATAAACATTTGAAGAACTACGGACCAGTGGCAATGGGCTTTCCGTACTTTTCTCGTTCAGGTACGGAGCATCATCAAGGAGGCATGTTCACTGTTGGGTGAAGAGCTGGAGATGTCTGTTGCATAGCATTGCTGTGAGTGTGTTTAGTTTAAAGTCAGTAGGTAAGTTGGTCCCTTGGATTTTACTGTCTGTTCAGATTTTAGTTGCCATTATGACCCTTCAGAAGTTTAAGTAGTTCGTATGGTGAAAGAGTCAAATGAGTGAATGGGGTTGGTAATTCTTACTCATTTGACAGTAATTTTCGTAACAGCACATTTCTTTCCCCTCGAAAAACAGTGGAGTGTTGAGAATTAGTAACGCATATTCCTCAGTTATGTCCCGTTGAAGGTTATCTTGATGATATGATATGATGATAGGTTTGCATCATGGTCCAGTTTATTCATAATCTGGTGATATCTTCATGTTGCAACTATTTGAAATTTTGGTGGGAAAAACAACTGCAGCTTCTTCACCTTTGTGGTTGGATATTGTTTGTATATCAAGAGGTCCCATTATGTCTGTATTCTTAGTAGTAGTATTAGTGTCACTTTTTACAGCACTGTCCTGTAATAGAGAGTTGAGCTGCCTTACAAACTTAGAGTGTTTGATTCACGTGCTTCCCTAGGTAAACTGTTCCATATCTAAGGACATTTTATCACAAAAAGTTCTACTTAGTGACTCTTTTTCAGGTGCTCGATTGCTACTGTTGCAGTTGTGTTTTCCAATCCGTGTGCAGCTTCATTTATGAACCACATGTCTGTGCATGCACTATAAGTTAGCCTGTTAAGGAGCTTACAAAACAGCATCAGGCTCGGTCTGAGCCTAGGATGTTGCGCCCGGTGGCATATTTTACGTCTTTATTCTCTTTGAGTATCCTCATTGTAATGTAACTCTGCACTCCTTCGACTTCCAGTCTATATGTAACCCGTACACTGATGGAGATAAATGAAAAATACTCGAGCAGTGGTCGGACATGTTTTATGCAGGATAACTCCAGATTCGGTACTATAGAAGTTCCATAGCAAGAAACCCACCAGCCTGCGTGATTTCTACACCTGTGTGGATACGCGGTTAGAGAAGGTTGGGTTGTGGAAATATCTCACCCCTAAGTCTTGTACAGACTTCAGTTTTGGGAGCGAATGCCCGGTTATCGTTAAGTTTGGTTCAAGTGCGTAGTTACCTATGCATTTCCAGCCACATTTTTCCACGTTAAACTCCAATCGCCAAGTGTTGGACCATATGCTCATATATATTAGTCCCTCTTGCATATAGTTAATGGTCAAGGACAGGTCACTGTTAAGGCATGTGTGTGCTACTTTTGGGTTGTCTGCACATGGAATGACTTGCCTACCTTGAAACATCCACACACAATATATGTTATGAAGAGGAGTGTACCTAAGAGGCTGCCCTGGAAAACTCCGCTGGTTTAAGCCTTGTGATAGTCGAGCCAACTTCTGTTATTTGACGATGGTTACACAGAAAGGATTTTAACCAGTCTAAGAGTGCACTACAGATTCCAAGGGAACCTAACCTGATGATAAGCACGTTGTGTGGGACTCTGTCGAAGGCTTTGTTGATGTTGAAGTAAAGTATTATCACCAGCTCCTTCTGATCCCTTTTGCTGATGGGCTTGCTAAAAAGGCGAACAGGGTTGCAGTGCAAGATCTTTCTAAAAACCCATATTATGATGAGTTGATACGGTTACATTACAGCAGACAATCAGGTATTTGGTCTTTAATCACCCTTTCCACAATCCGTGAGATGACTGGTTTTACGTTAATTGACCTATAATTGCTGACGCTGGTCTTGGCCCCTGACTTAATTGTTGCAATTTATAAGTAGTTTTCCACTTATCAGGATGTGTCCCAGAATTTTATGACAGGGTAAACATTTTGAGTAACAAAACTGCCATATCTATGTCATCCTTTTCATGAGTTATCGACGATATCTCTTCTGTCCCAAGGCCAACATCTGTTTTTAGAGTTTTAAATTGTATCCTTGATGTTATTTACACTGAATTCTATGGTGCCCATCGTGATACTAATTGTACTGCCCATCTCGGTGTCTTGAGCTAAAGGCACGTTATTACTATTTTATTCTGTATGAGGTTTTGATATAGGTGTTCGTCCCATCAATTTGTTCCTTATCACTTCGCATCGATTTGGATCGGGTGTCAGGCGCGGTGAGCATTCACGGCTCATGGTGTAAATGTTGGTTACTGGCCTGCGATCTCCCCTGGTAAATCTTTCACTGTCCTGCTAGACGTCGTAACCAGCGTATAAAAGCTTCACAAGCGGGTGGAGTACTCGCCGTTCATGGGTATCCGTAGTGTAATTGTTTGTCTGAATTCAATCCGAATGGTACCAAGAGGAGAGCAGGGGCGAGTGACAAACCTGGTTGGTCGGAATCCTGCCCTTGGTTTCCTCGAAGGGGTAGGCTGCCACGTGGTTTGTTGATTTAAGAAGATGAAAAATCAGAAAGCCGGCCATTTCTTGGCTTCTTAATGCGTTTAGGTCGGGTCTTCTTTTGAAACTAACACCATTGGTAGTCTATACCACTTTCGACACCAAGCGATCCAGGTTTTCCCGGATAAATCGAAAGCTTCTCACAAGATTCGAATGGTAGCCAAACCTGTCACGGGTTTTTTTATCTT